AAATTAGACTACCTGAATGTTTAATGTATTTTAAATTTTGGAAATCTCACTGTAGTTTGGGACTACAGGTAGGTAAACCTCTTTGCAAGGAAAAGGAGAAAGTCTTTATTTCACATGTTCCTGAGAAGTTCTGATCCATTTTTGCCTAGTTGAAGGGCAGAAGCAGCTAATGAGGGTTTGTAAAACACCACCATCCCTTCCCTTCCCATCATGTTACTATGGATCATACAAGAACAGCCATGCAGATAAGACAGAGAAGAGTTGAGAGCTTATGATACATTTTCCTACTGTGAAGAAAGGGTGTATGTGTATGATACCTTCTTCCTGCAACACTTAGGAGAAAACACCTTACATTTGAGGCTGAAAACACAATCAGAAAACACAGAAACGTTTCTCGTCCATTGTTACTTAAGCATGTTATTACTTCCATTGCCTTCCTGGATCCTTAGTTCAAGTTCATAAAAATCTTAAGTAAATGTCTCACAAGAGTATCAAAGATTTAGAGCAACATGTTGTTAAACACCAGATCAGTAACCAGGTTGGAACCACCTTGAGTGGCTCCGGGCTGGGGTGTTACATATGTGTACACATTTTTTACATGTACCTTTTGTTACTACCGCAGAGAGTAATAATGTAACATATTATTACTACCACAGATCATTCTAAAAGCAAGGATGCTTGAAATGTATCTTGGTTCAGAATCTTCACTGATATCTAAATGTTGCAAAAGGAACATCACAAGCCACATTTAGGTAATGAGTTACTCTGCACACCTCAGAAGTGAAGGGCTAGCAGGATGTGTTATCTACTAAGGTATCGGTAGATATAGGTGGCTGCCTTATGTGATATAGGTAAGAATGATGAGGAGAGTATTCCCACTCTCACAGAGTTATGTGGTTCCTAATGTCCATGAGTTTCTGCACAGTAACTCATGTACTCTTGATGGAACACAGCAAGTAAGCAAGCACATTTCAAAGAAGGAAAAATCATAAATACCCAAAGACAAATTTTGTGTTAAATGTATGGAAAGCATCACCATGTTTGACAAGTTATTTGACTAGTTATATCTTTTAGAACTGCTATGTCTTTAGCAGTGCTGCTATTGAAAATCACACATCTGCCTGTTATTTTCAAATAGCAATTGCAAGAGTGTAATATAACTTTCATTGGTATTCAAATATTTTTTTCTCAATTTGCATGGCTCTAGAGTACTCAATGAACAGAGTGACAGGTTCAGAAGCTCTCTAAAGCTGTGACTTTTATAGCTCTGGACCTCTGTGAGAGTTATGATTCTGCCTGAGGGCTCAAAGCTTAGCAGAAAAGAAGTGCACTTTTTTGCACATTTCAGATATCCCCTGGGATTTTTATGAATGGGAAAGGGTGAAGAAGTAGCAGAAATACCTGTCAGAAGCAGCAGGGTAAAAAATAAAAAAAAACCCACAACCTATCACAAAAAATGAGAAAATTGGTGAAGTAAAATTAAATCTGAGGATGAATTTATGGTAAGTACAAAAGTGGATTTCAAACATCAAACCAATTTTTTTTAGCTGCTGCCAGCTTAATGTTCTCCATTCAAAAACAGGCAGAGGTATATATGATATGTGCAGACAGCATGGAACAACAGACTTCTTTCTCAAGGTGAGCAATTAATGTGCATTTCTAAGACTGGCAAAAATAGAATAGATATTTTTCCATATGTATTTAAACTATGCAAACACTGATTAAACAGAGGGAAAAGTTTGTGTGAAGGTAATTCAGTAGAATGCACAATGCAAAAGGTATTGCTAAGTGAAAGTTGGGAGGGGAGAGATGTGATTACTTATCCTTTTCCAGCTCAGATACAAAGTTCAATGGATGGCCATTTTTTCATCTTTATTCTGTAGATATAACTCACGTCTGTGCTACATCTGCTCCATTGGTCTTAAATGGCATGTTTAAGAACTGAAGGCCATGGAGTCCTTTTGGAGATCCAGACACAAACTTGGCAGATTCCTGACCATGTCACAAATAGACTGGAGAGCAATCCAACATTTCTTGCTTACTTGGTAGAAATCCCAACAGAAAGTATTGCTACAGCTGTGACTTTCTCTCTATACACTTTTTATTGCCAGTATAAAAACATTGTACTGTAATAATAGATATTAGTATTGTATGACCTGGAGCCACAACTTGAATTTATACCATTTAAACATACAACTACTCAGTCTTCCAATCCTCCAGTATATTTAGTTTGTTTAGGGGGGTTTTTTGTTTGTTTTTGGGTTTGTTTTGAGTTTTTTAATATACTTTTTCTTCACTGAATAACACCTGTATCAAGAGTTTCACTGGCATTTTTCCATCTCCTGAGTGAACATGTAACCTCCTTCCTCCCAGCCCCGACCCCACTTCTTTACATTAATCTATCTACCAGTTACAGTTCTAAGTGCATGTTCTTGAGGCTGTCTTGGTCTTACAGAGTTTCAAATACCATAGAAAGAATTTTTAGTTGTCCTAAAATTTGATATGACCAGCAATTTGGATGCCAAAGACAGGAAAAGACCAGCCAATTTGTTGCCTTGCAATATCACTTATGTCCTGTGAAATACAGATAAAATGCCAGTGGTATAACATATATGAAAAGTGCATTATCACCTTTCTGAATGCACTGGTATCCTTCTTTCTTTATAGAATGCTCCTGCCATGCATATAAATTTGCAGGTTGGTGGTTTTTTAAAATTATTATTATTCAACTCTTTAAAGATGTCAACATATAAGAAGATTTCAAAGTTGTTAACTAGACAATTTTCCCCCCAAGGTATAATAATTTAATTTACTTTGTTTTGGTTTGGTTTTTTGTGGGTTTTGTTTGTTTGTTTTGTTGTTGTTGTTGCTGCTTAAAACATTTCTCTTCATTGTTTTCGAAGGATGCAGCATACCTCTTCATTTAAAGAAGAATGTTCCAGAGCACATTTACAACTAATAGAAAAAATATTTTCTTATGTCAGCAAACACAGTATAGAAAAGTTCACTACCATTCTTTATGTAGATGTGGCCATGCTTTTAACAAGACAAAAGCGAAAACTTGTCTTTCTCTGCTCTATCTTACACAAGAAAAAATTTTAGAAGGGAGGGCAGGAATATTAGATTTTTAGGTGCCTGTTAATTTCTTTGATTTCTAATAGTAGAACGTCCAGGTTTTACTGATTGTACTAGCAGTGGTGACTGATTTTATTAAGTTAGAAATATTTAATAAGAGATAAGAAAATAAGAAATATGTTAATATGCATCCAATACAGTACAGGGAATTAATAAAAAATAAAGAAGCAGATTTTTATATTAATATAAGAAGTAATAAAGGCCATATAGCTGTTAAGGAACAAAGAGGAAGGTAAAGAATAAGAAATAATGTAAATACAATATTGCAATTTAACAAATTTCCGCTCTCCAAACACCGTACCAGCTGCACACCAAGAAGCCTAACGGTATTCACTCTAATGACGGAAACACAAAAACATATATTTTTTTCAGGTCTTTAAGTTTTTAGAATATTAACCTCTAGTGTGATGCCTTTAAGTAGGTCAGTCTCAATAAACTCACTCATTTTTTGTACTTGATTCATTCAGCCAGAATAATGTCAGTGATAATAATATTATATTTATTTCAGCCAATGTGAATATCCGCCATGGGCAACTCACCTTTTAGCAATTACCAGACAAAGTAGAAGGTTTTTAATAATATAGTTAGCAAATGATACAGAACTGCATTCCATAATCACACTGGGCAAGTACAATATGGCTAGAACAGGTGTTAGCTTAATTTTCCTCATCTGTACCTTCTAGCAAGTCTAGTTACCTTTTCACAGTCATTTGATGTGGTCATTCAGGGAAATCAGTGCAGATGGTATGTCACTGTGTCTGTACTTGCCAAAGGTTTTTACAACTTGAAGCCACTGTCTCCAGCCAGTATGAAAACTTAGTGTAGATTACAACTAGAGTTTAAAACTATGTGAACATAACCTCAACACATGAGGAAAAAAAGTGGATAAAATGCAGCTTAACCCAGATGTAAAGTGAAAAAAATAAAAATACATGGAGTCTAAGGGGTGTATACTTGAATTTATATAATTTATTAATATTATTTATATTAAGGTCTTACACATGTATGTTTCTATATTTTTTTATCCCATTCCCAGTCAATATATATTGTTTTGTGACAGATCTAGAACACCAATTTGCAGTGAATTTTTTCAGCCAATATTCTTAAAAAGCAATTAATACCTTCAGTACTGTTATAGTTCTGAAAATATAAAAAGAAAATTACTCCATATTTACTAACATGATAAATATGATTTGTACTAAAAAAAGAGTATAACACAGTAAATACCATAAAAGCAGGGAAAAATACATGATAAGTGAAACAGATAAGTAGAGGATTTTTTTATTTCCATTTCATTTGGAACTTTGATCTGCTATATTTTATATTTTGTAAAATATCAGTTTTAATGAATGACTTTCCCTTTAAATTTTGTAATGGCTAGGAAAGCATTTTGATTTTTGTTTTGTTCTATTTTTTTACATTCCATTACTCCAACTTCTTTGAATATGTACTGATACAAACGCCTTACAAAAGTGATGGGGACTAACCAATTGCCACTGAAGTAATGGAAGACTGGCTGAATTTGTAAGAAAATTATAGTTATTTTCCCACTGAAAGTGTTGTTTAAACATGTTTTTTTAGTTTTTTTTAGTTTGTTTTGTTACAGTTGTCTCAAAACCAATCATTTTTCATTAAGCTGTTTTAACTGTTTTGAGACATTTCTACTTTTTCTGCCTTGAGCTAATCCTGAATCATGCTCTTATTGTGTATGTATTGTGCATTATAGGCACCCGTTTTTGTTTGAGTATGGTGATGAGAGATTTTTTTTCCTGACTATTCAGTAATATTTTATATGTGATTTTTATTAATGAAACCTATTCATAAAGCTAAACTGATAAACGTAACAGTTAATAAAGAACACTCACCTACTGTCAGTTGTCCAGTTAACTGTCCCATGTGATTTCTTGCATTCACTGTTACATTTCTGTCAGACTGTAAGACCAGTGGGCTATCCTGGGAAACATGTATGAGACAATAAATGAGAGAACAAAAAATTGAGGTAGAATTAAGTTAGAACTTAATATAAACATGCATGCTGAGAGGGGAGCTGTGTTAAATATAACGAACCTTTTAATAATTTCATAAAATATTTTACAAGTCAATTTTTTATATAAAAGAGTACTAAGAACACTGTTTTAAGCTTGGAACCTTTGTGCAATCCCTGCTTTAGAAATCAGTTGAAGCTAATTTATACAATACTACAAAGTTCCAAATTCAAAAACCCTTAACACAAACCTGTTTCACTAGCTTTTTCCACATATTGACAACCTATACTTTTCTAACTACCAAACCAACACTATACTGCATTATTCTATTAATCTGCACAATCTATAATACTTGTACTTACAAAAACCTTACAAACACAGTCATGCATTTCTTTGAAGACAAAAAGAATTGTTACTCTCAAAAAAACAAAGAAAGAGAGCACTGGAAGGTGAGATCTTGTAAAAGACAATCCTGACCCACTGGTAGTAGTATCTGACAAGTACTATTAGGGATCAAATTGATGTAGCATGGAGACAAACACTGCATGATGTTAAATACAGTCTTAACATTTTTTGAGTCAGTTTGCAGCATGACTGCTCTCAGCACCCAACTAGGTTTAAGCTTCTGAGAAATATTTACATATATATATGTAAGCTTATCCTGTGTCTAAAGCCAGAATAAAGAATTGCATAAAGAATTTAATTTTGCTTCTTGAAGAATGAGGAGCCAGATACACTCCTCCAGGGGAAGCACAGATGCACAGGAAAGGGGAAGAGCTTCAACAGAGAGTCAGGAGAAATAGCTCCCCCCGAAAAAAAAGAAAGAGCTTACCAATCATGCTCTCAATGGAGTGGGGTGAGTGCATGAGCGGAGGAAAAATTAGGATTGCAGCTGCTGCTGCAGAGAGGCACTTTTCTGTCTGGAGTCACCTGATACCACACTGTTCTTTCCCTGGAGCTTGCAGTGAGATCATGGGTACATTAATGCTTCTGGCAGTTTGCTAGCACTTATTATGCTTAAGTATGTTTATCCAACACCACTAAAACATCTGATAGAAACAGCTGGGGAAGTGTCTTAGATAGGAATGGCTAAGGGCTAGGAAAATATTTGGGAAATTTATTATATACTTGTTTTATTCTTAAGATTCTTCCCTGGGCATTTATTATTGGTTATCCCCTGACTGAGCATATTAGGTTAGACAGACCAATTGTGTGTGTCACTCACTATATTGCTTCTTGCTGTTCTTGAAAGTTTTTAAGATGAGAAGGAAAGGAGTTAAGGAGCCATAGATTAAGATTTATTTTTACCTGAATGATGCATTAGGTTTTCACTAAAATTTTCTATACCTCACAGTCCCTTTCTTTGAATCCAGGGCTTCCCTCTGCAAGAAACACTTTTCCTAGTTGTTTTCACTATGATTATTAACTTTAAATGATAATCGGTTCCCTGGGAAGTCTAAAATTTGAGCTAATTTCTAAGAGTACAGGTGTGTTTAATGTCTCACTGGACCATTCTCTGACCTCTCTAGCATTCTGCCAATTAGCTCTGCATCACAGAATCTGGCAGATGAAAGTGACTGTTTGGCTTGTCCATCTTTCTAGATAAAAAGCTATAATTATCAGTGAGACGCTGTGTTCAATGTGACTATTTTGAGCTAAATGTGATGCAATCAAGGGGGCTTCTGACAACAAAAGCAGCTGCTAAGGGCCTTTTTCTCAACACTTGGTTTTCACTTTCCTTATGGTTCTTTTAAAATGATTAGTCCAGGCAACTGCCACTCTGAGAAAGGCAGTTGTCTTAATAGATATCTGCATTGTCAAAGTGTATTTTAAAGGAGCCCTTTTCACTTTCGCTTAGTCAGTATTTGGTGAAGAGTCTTCCCAGTTAGAATAATCTCACCCTTAGCAAGGGACGATACTGCCATGCCTATTTCTGCCAGTTCAGCTAAAGGTTTGGGAACTTACACTCCCAAAGACTGTTCACATAATTATCCAAAGGTTTCTTTCCTTTCATCTTGGGAAAATACTTATCAAAATTCTCAGGCTAAAATCTGCCTCTCAGACTCTAATTGTAAGATTGATATCAAATTCTCAAGTACAGGAAAAGGAAAAATTAGGTGAGCCAAGCCTCCTTTCTTCTTCTTTCCTTGTCTTATGTAAAAGAGGGATGAAGAAGTTAGGAACTTAAATCTATACTCCTTAGTGCAAGCTTAAATTCTAGACCAAAGAAAACACAGTGGCAAAACTCCTATCAATTTAAGAAGTCCAGCAGTTCATCTATACTGTTTACCTGCACTTTATTTTACACAGGAAGTGCCTAAACACAGAGGTTCAAGGTAATCAAAGGTAGTCTACTCAGATGAACTAGACATTCAGAGAAGATTTAGCTGAAATCGGTGGAATTACAGATGGGTGGAATTAAGATGAGTATAAAGTGCGATGAGTGTCAGTATTTGTATTTAGATGAATAAAAATACATCTAAAGCATTAAAATCCTGGATAATTTTCTCTCTGGATCACCAAATCTGTTACTCTTTTGATGTGAACTTCAGCTCGCAATTTAGTAACCTCGATAATTCACACAATAATTTACATTCAGATGTCAGAAGGGATATAGAAGTATGTGTAAATGTACATACATACAGATGTAAATGTGGCCTTCAGAAAATAGTAAATGATTTGTGATGCCATTTCAAAAATTATACTATAGATAACAAAAAGCAACATAGTAAGAACATTCTTACTGTTACATAGAGCTTTTAATAATTATCAATATACTAATAACTAAAATATTGTACAGGGATGCCCTCAGGGCCATGAGGGTTCTACCAGCCCTTACTGGCCCTGTCCAACCTCCCTGGGGGGAGATTTCAGTCCAGCCCCATTTGAACCCCTTCTATCTGGGTTGTCCAACTTGGTTCCACCCACCTCTTAGGGAGCATTCAGCTCTCATCACTTCCAGACAGATAAGAGGACTTCAAGAACTAGCTGATGTTCACGATACTGTATGAAATGATTCCTGTTATAAGCCCTGAAACGTTACAACTTCAAGATTTTCAGCAGTGTATTAAAATTAAACCAGATGAACATGATGTTACTATAGTTACTTCTTATCTGAAACAGGTTTGCAGCTGGAATTCACAAAGCGAAAAATAAACTATTTAATTTAAGGTATATTTTCAGAAAGCTTTCTTGAATCTGAATCTAGTTATAAATACAATTAAAATTTTGAGGAAAAAGAGGTTTGGGGTTTGCTTGTTTGTTTGTGGGGTTTTTTTGTTTGTTTTGGGTTTTTGTTTTGAGTAAAGATCATAGTGCAGTACTAGTAAATATCAACTTTTTTTTTTAGAAGTACATGAGCAGATTACAGTAAGTGTATAAAAACTGACAGACTGATTTACAAAAACATTTTATTAAAAATATTCTGCATGAGCAATCATAGCAAAGTTAATTTTTTTACAGATGGTTCAAGTATTTTGAACATATTTTGGACAAATTTCATATGTTTTGTACAGCATTCAAATAGGCAATCCTAGCTAATTCAGTTTTGAAGAATGTTTCCAAATGAACCCTTTAAATTAGAAACAGTTTAAATGGAGCAATTTTAATTCCAGTAGGTTTAATAAAACTTTAGTTTAAGTAAGATGGTACACTGTATAATTAAATGTAATTCCAGACTTACGCTTAGAACACAGTTAATTGTAATAACACCAACTGACACTCAGGAACAGTCACAATATGTATACCATTGCTTAGAGTGCAAGCACTAGCTCTTTTATGATTCGATTTCTTTGCTTGAACAAGTGCACCACTTCAGGTTTCTGGACCCTTATGCAGTGTCATATAGATATAAAAACTAATGGAATAAGTAGCTAGGATTCCAGACCTGCCACTCCAGCGGGAGTTTGTTAGAAGACGTAAGGTTATACAGACTCAAATAACAGAGCAGTATCACCAGTGTGGGCAGCTAAAATAGTTATGGCAGAAGCTTTCCTTGTAGGACTCCTAACAAAGCTACCCTGATACACTGGTGACTCAGAATGACCATTGCATTTCCAAGGTACCTTTACAGAAAAAGAAAAAAAAAAAAATCAGTATTAGACTTTGGTTTGCTGAGAAACTCACCATGGCACCATACTCAACCACACAGGTAGTTGTGTATTATAAGATTTTAACAAAGACAGGGAGCATATTTCCCCACTGCAACAGAGCACCACAATTTGTCTACAGCTTTAGGGACCCATACTGTGGGTGCCAGTGAAGAAGTTGATCAGCTGTGTCTGCTCAATGACCCCAACTGAAGAACAAATAGTGTATGAGCTATTTGACTACACCGTAGAAACAAAACAAGAACTGAAAGATATAGAAAGTACTTAGTAGGCTGGTCAGTCCAGCAGCTCAAGGGAGTCAAAGACCAGATGAGTAGTTGTGCAATAAATACATGGACAACTGCAGCTCGGGCAAATAAGCTGTATTTGCTTATTTGAGGTGGAAGATAAAGCTCCAGGGACTAAAAGATCATTTTTAGGGCTTGGAGTCTCTGGGACAAATTGTCTATCATTAACGTTATTATTAGCAGTAACCAAACATGAAGAAATTTGCATTAGGAAGGATTTGAAAGAAAAAGACCTACAAATGGAAGCAATTGCTGAGTTCTTGAGTACTTAAAAAGACTGAAGTCTCCATTAAAACTATTGGAAGCTTGTATGAGTTTGGGACTGTCAAAATACAAATTAAAGACAAATTTTCTCCATCAGAATATTCCCAAAATATTTTTCCAAGAATATTTCCAATATTCCTTTTTATCAATATTTACCAATATTCAGTATTTCCAAAAATGTTCTCAAAAATATTCTCAAGAGGCTTCCCAAGGCATCAGGACAGCAAGGATTCCAACACAGGGGTGTTTAAAATAGGGAGAATTGAATATAATTTACTATTCAAGTTATTCCTGGTCAATTCTGAGCT